AAACCCACTCATCATCTTCCATCTGTGCAGCCATCTTTGATGGCACATAACCAACTCTGGAATGAGTTTGCAGATCAATTAGCTCTGCATAAAATGTTACTTGTTTGCTTGCCCATCCTCCTTGCTGATCAATTTCAGCAACCATGGATTCTCCATCTTCAATTCTCACATATTCACCATTATAGTTATCGAAACGTTGCAGAGATACCTCTTGTTCTGGACCCCAAACAATACTCTCCCCAATTCTCTCCACCAAATTGCCCACGGCCTTCTCCTTCATGATCTCCAATTCCTGGGGATCAACATCTGCAAAATCGACATCCAACCTCACGGTGGTATCTCTATCAATGTCTTGGACACTGCCATCACTGAGCTTGGCTTTACAGGGAAAAAATTCCACTATAATTGCGAATGTGGTGGCAGAACCTGAACCTCCCCTGTTTTGTCAATGGCAGGCAGCGGCGGCAGTCACTACCAAATCGAGTTCGATTCTAAATCGCCAAGAAAAGAGGGTGCCATTACCGATTTGAAGCACTGTCTCCTCGGGGCAGCCCGTCTCCTCGCTCCATCTCATCTAGCCCTCGCTCCATCTCCTATCCAATCAAGCAACAGGGGCAGCATGAGGCCACAGATTTATTCAAAATTCAGTGGAATGGGAGTAGTGTTTGGAAAATACTCACTCGCAATAGCCACTGCAGGGATAGGCGCTCCACCACCGGGCCGCGGAGAAGAAACAACCCCCGGATCCAATGGAGCCCGATTCTAAATCGCCAAGAAACAGAGGGCAGCATGAGGCCACAGATCGGGGAGTGGGACTAGGGTTTCGGGCTCACCTCGCAATAGCTCTGCCGCTGCCGAGAAATGCGCTCCACCACCGCGGAGAAGAAACCACTGCCGGAGAAGATGCTTACGGCGGCGCCGCTCGCCCAGTCCAACACGGGCGAGTCGAGCACGGTCACACAGTCGCCGGTCGAGTCGTGGACGGTTGACTCTTGACTACGTGGCCATAGGTGGACCCCACCAGTCAGAGCACATAACCCCCAGTGTCCTAACCAAATCTCAGCCTAACGGACAGCCAACTAGCCGCGTAAATGGTGTGTCGCATGGGAGCTATTTTTTCCAACGAAGATGTCGCATGCAAGCTATTACAGCCAACGACGTCGCATGAGAGACAGTTCACACCAACGACGTCGCATGGGAGCTATTCACCCGTTTTTTTACCGGAGCCGGGAGCTACCGGTGGAGAATCTGCCGTTCAATTGCTTTCTCTGAGATTCGTGCCAGCTTTTTGTGTATAAAGTAAAAATAATTTACTATGCAATACAAGCAGTAGATGTGTATAAAGGAATACATCTGTGCATGTCAGATGTGTGGCAGCTTTAGATGTGACTTGGTGGATGACTGATTAAAAGGACGGCGCATGGGTTCTCTCCCCCCCAAACAAAGTAGTTGCATTTTATTTGCTGATCATATTTTGAATGGTTAACAGCTTATGAACCAAATTTTCATTAATGAATTTTTTTGTACATTTGAATTCAGGGTGATAAGACCTTTAAAACAAGACCGGTCTTGGATACAATTTGGCTAGATTGAATTTTTACTGTTTCAATTAATTTCACATTACAAAAAATACGATTTTACTCATTTCAATAAACAGAGTTTACTCATTCCGAAAAAATTATTTCACTAATTTGAAATACGGATTTCACTCATTTACTAATTGATTTTATTATTTCAAACTAATATTTCATTTATTTCAAACAACTGATTTCACTCAGTTGAAAAAACTTACTTCACTCATTTCAGAGAACACATTAGATTCACTCATTTGAAGTACTATATTCCACTCGTTTAAAAAACTTATTTCACACATCACAAAAAATATATTTTCAAACTTTGTTTCACTTGTTTCAAGAAGCTAATTTCACTTATTTCAGAAAACACATTACATTCAGTCAATTGAAATACTATATTTCACTTGTTTCAAAAAGTGATTTTACTCGTTACAAAAGATAGATTCCGCTCATTTCACTAGTTTCAGAAAACACATTACACTCACAATATACAGAAATAAATAAGGATTTTTCACAAAAATAATATTTCAATTAAAAAACTATTTCACTCATATGAAAAATATCATTCAAACACATATTTCTCTGCAGTAATTAAAATCTATGAAATTAGTGAAATTAGATTTTTGAACTAAGTGAGATCTATGAAAATAGCTACTTTTTGAAATGTGTGAAGCATGTTATTTTTAAATCTGACTGCCATAAGCAGTTTCACACAGAGTGAAATAACATGTTTCATATGTTTCATATATATAGTGAAATAAATTTCGAACACTGAAATAAGCAGTTTCACACAGAATATATAGAGTGAAATAAGTTAACTGAAATGTTGAAAATTAAATGTATTTGAAATCTATCCAAAATTGATCTTGTTCTAAAGGTCTTGACACCCGGAGATCAAATATATAAAATATTTCACATATGTAATTTTGGTTTAAAAGATATTAACGGTTGAAATGTCAAATGAAATTTAAATGGGTGCCTTTGTTATGGGGCCAGAGGATGAGAGTATGTCTGAGCCATGCATGCATCGTACTGACAAAAAGTGCCGACAAGAGTTGACAAGACGTTTCATACATGATGATGTTCAACAAAATACAAAAGAATACTCGTATGCATGTAGACAGCATGCACCAATCTCCAGAAATTTAAGGGTGGATTTAGCATCGGTACATCCCTGCACCGGTAAAAAGAGGTTTGCGTGGTGATACCTGGTTCTAGTGATGACACTGCGGGCTCCGGCCGGTTATTATAAAGAAAGAGAGGATTGATTTCATGGAAAGTTTGAGACGCATGGATGCAATGGAAATGTAAAAGGAGATCTCCTACTGATTGATGTGACAAACTGTGCAAGATCATTTCTTTTGTGCCAAGGCGCGCCCACGATTTGGGCGGATCCTGTAGAAAGATCAGTTAGGATCAAAACAGAGGATCCAGGTCAGGATGGTTCGAGCTACGTACGTGACCTGCTGGTACTACCTCTGCTCTTTCTATACGCATAGGCCTTAGAGGCATCGATGCAAAAGAGGCAAGGTTGAGTAGGTTTCAACAGAATTATGTAGATTAAACTTTGGGCTCAACAGAAAACATTGTCAGATAAGAAAACATTGATTCAGAAAAAACGTAGAATGAAAGCCAAGCCACATGTTACTAGCCTGCTTAAAGCTCCGAGCAAAATAAAGTCAAATCATAACTTAGGCTGATGCTGACTGCCAAGCGGAATAGGCTCTTGTTAATTACGAAAACATCACTGATGGTGCAAAAATTTATGACCGCGTCAGAAAGAAACTGAAGCTAGCAGAACAAGATTTTGATGAACTTGTCCATTCATTAAAGACTCTGATAAAGTTTGGGTGAAGGCTACAACAATCAGTAGCCTCCTTACACAAAGACCGCAACCAAAATCACCACACATGCTTGCTTTTTATTAAGCGCCCACGAGGTCACACACACTTGACTCACGAACTAAACTCAATTCATCCCTAATAATAATAATAAAAGTGCAGCTAAAACTCCTAAGATTCAACCCCGATGGCGCGACACAATGAGTCTCTAGTTACTGCCCTTGCTGATGAGCTCCAGGGCGGTGGCGGTGGTGGGCAGCGCCGGGATGGCTCCCTTCTTGGTGGTGCAGATGGCGCCGCAAGCGTTCGAGAACTGCAGCACCTCCCTCAGCTTGGCCTCATTCTGTCCAATCAGAAAGAAAACACCATCATTAGCAACATATATTCATCATAATGGAGTTGAGTCAGCTGATTGATAATTCTTCTTGTATCGGTGATTGACTTAGTTTCTTACGTAGAAGATGGAGTCGTCCTTGGAGACGCTGACGAGGAGGGAGCCGACGAAGGCGTCGCCGGCGCCGGTGGTGTCCACGGTGTTGACAGAGTAGCCGGGCACCGAGCCCTTGAAGTCCTTGGTGAAGTACCTGCACCCCTTCTCACCATCGGTGACGATGAGCAGCTTGAGGCCCTCGAACCAGAGGGAGAGCACGTTCTTCTCGTCAGTGGCGTCGCCCTGGGTGAGGAAGGCTACCTCCTCGTCGCTCACCTTGATGAAGTCAGCCTCCTTCCAGATGCTCATGATGCCGTCGCGGGCGGCCTGCGCAGAGGGCCAGAGCGGCAGGCGCACGTTGGGGTCGTACGAACAAAGGATGCCGGCCGACTTGGCGGCACGCGTGGCGGCGACGTGGGCCGAGCGGCAGGGCTCGGTGATGAGCGAGATGGAGCCGTAGTGGAAGATGCGGGCGCGGCGGATCAGGTCCAGGTTGAGCTCGGCCTCGGTGAGCAACATGTCGGCCGACGGGTTGCGGTAGAACATGAACTCGCGCTCGCCGTTGGACTTGAGCGTGACGAAGGCCAGCGCGGTGCGCGCGTGCTGGTCGAACAGGCAGCCCTCGGCGTTTACGCCGTTCTGCTTCAGGATCTCCACCAGCATGTGGCCGAACTCGTCGTCGCCAAACTGCAAAACACAAAACCGTTCGATATAGTAAGAATTTAAATATAAATCAATATACTGTTGCGCCGACCGAATGAAAATAACCAAATGTTAATAAAAAATAATGCATTAATCGTTGAAAAATAATGTACTAAGAAGGATGCTTCTTGTGTCAGAGTGGATTAATGTTAGATTTGGACGGATCAATGACCTGAGATGCTGGTAACAACAGCCGCCAGATCCGAGTCAGCAGGGACCCACCATGGCTCATGGGGTATAAACAGTGGAAGCGTGCAAGTGGGATTATGTTAAACTACACGTGATCCGAAAGGCCAACAAAGGCATGGGCATCATCGAGCGGCTACCCAACACAGACGGGGCCAAAGCATCTATTTTTATTCTATCCAATTCAACAATTCTAATGCCAAAAATTATCGATGGAGCCTAAGAGCGCGACTGATTCAATATCAAAGTTGTCAACAATTAATTAATTTATTTGTCGAGAAAAAAATTGACGATGCAAACGAGATTATAATATTGGGAAAAGCGAGGTGAGGTCACGTGAGGACAAAGCGCTCGTTTGTCTCGCGCCACCCACTTCCACTCCCACGGCTGGCCGGCGATAATAATTGCTGCTGCTACCACTTTTGCCTCCAGTCCTATGCAACAACTAAGATTTCCTACCCCCAAATAGTAGATCATATTCAAGACCGAAAAAAAGTTAAAGTTGCAGAGCAGCATTGCGGTGCCACCAACAATCCTAAGCAAGTCAACGCCCGATCCGCGCCGTGCACCGATGATCGGACGGACAGAGACGGCCCACCTACGGCGCCACCAGCCTCCGATCCGGACGGGAGCTCACCAGATCCGAGCCCACCAACCGCCGGAAGAGAAAAAGACAGCGAGAAGTGACACGGCGATCGGCGGGTGCGTACCTTTCCGATGAAGGCGGAGGAGCCGCCGAGCTTGGAGATGGCGCAGGCGACGTTGGCGGGGGCGCCGCCGGGGGCCTTGACGAAACCGCCGGACTCGGCGAGGGAAACGCCGGCAACGTCAGGCACGAAGTCGATCAGCATCTCGCCGAAAGAGACGACGAGGCCAGGGGCGGCGGCGGCCGCCGCGGGGGCAACAGCGTCACCGAGAGGAGCCATTGGAAGCTTGGTCTAAACGCACGAAACGGAAACGCGAACGCGACGGAAGGATTCGATCGATCGGTCGAGCTCGTGAGGAAAGCTGCTAGTGGTGGGTGGGTTTGGAGGCGCGAGGCGGGCGGGCTTATAAAGGGGCGAGGGCGAGGGCGAGGCTCTTTGGCTTGGCCGAGGGGGCCGGTGATTAGGAGTTATACTCGTAGTAATTATCTGACTTATCCGTCTCCCGTTACAGCTCTGATCCCCGCCCGTGTTCGGGTTGTGGATAATCGTCGGGCTCCGCTAATCTAGCCGCTGCGTGCTTCGGCCACCGACGTGTGGGCCCGATGGCAGGCCGGACCCATCTTTGAACGGGTTTTGGGGTCCTGGGGCCCGCCGATAACGGGTTGGATCAGGTTGCTGGCGGCGACGGGCCCAGCTGTCCGTGGGCGTGGCAGTGCTTATCGGGCGAGTAAACCGGGTCGTGATCTGATCCCTCTACGAGAAGTAATTATCCACCAACTGTGATTATGAGTTATCTCGTCTCCAAACAATTAGGAGTACTCGACTCCGGATTACTGGCCTTGGTGCGAGTCAGCTCGATCGTAACGGACTCCCCTTGGATTACGGAGCCACCTGAAACGTATTTGGATCCAACTAAATTAGGTGGGACTGGCTGGTCTCACCAACAGAAACGGACGCAAGATCAAAGCTATGGATCATGGATCTTGTGCATGCAGCTTGCACAGACGCTGCTGAGTGGGGCCTCGAGGTAGATCGTCCACGTGATGGATGGCTGCATGCGGACATTAGGGAAGCGGACACACTATTTTTATCCGCAAACTCAGTCCATGCTAGTCCGCGACTAAGGGCATGTCCAGTTGCATTCCAAACGTAACTTAACAAAATTGATTAAATCTGATGAAAACTCAAACAAACCAGACAATATATTCATTTAAACCGGGATAACTTTTATATATTTTTGGATTCGTCCGGTGAACTAAAACCTAACCCTATACTACCTTATACTTAACGGTGACCTGATAAGCCATGCCAGCCTGCCCAGCAGCTCCTCGGTCATCTCGTCGTCGTCGTCGTCGTCGTCGTCGTCGGGCTTCCGGCGATGGAAAGGTGTGGCGTCACAACAAGGCTTTCCGGCAGCCAACTGACGCCCGCAGATTATTCTGCCCACTTCCTCCTATGTAGTGCACAGTGCAACCACGACACTGAAGACGTGGGCGGAGGGAGAGGGCGGCGGGCCTCGGAGGAGGCAACGTTGGTGGCGGACTCACGGAGAACCCACTCCTGGCTGTACTTGGCCATATCCTCATCGAGGCGGCAGACATAGTGCCGCTGGACTCCATCGTTGTCTTGGAGTGGTCCATGGCCCAGGCCATGGCTTGCTCCGAGACCACCGCGATGTGTGGCGGTGGGATGTCGGAGTCTGCGAAATCTGAAAGGTGCGCCGTGTTGCACCTATCCCGCCGAGGCCGCTCCCTACGGCGTACTCCTCCTGTTGGGAAACGTAGCATGCAATTTTTTTTAAAAAAATCATACGCTCACGCAAGATCTATCTAGGAGATGCATAGCAACGAGGGGGAAAGAGTGTGTCTACATACTCACGTAGACCGAAAGCGGAAGCGTTTGACAACGCAGTTGATGTAGTCGAACTTCTTCTAGCTCCGACCAATCAAGCACCGAACGTACGACACCTGCGTGTGAAGGAAATATGCCCTATAGGCAATAATAAAGTTGTTATTTATATTTCCTTATATCATGATAAATGTTTATTATTCATGCTAGAATTGTATTAACCGGAAACTTAGTACATGTGTGAATACATAGAGAAACAGAGTGTCCCTAGTATGCCTCTACTTGACTAGCTCGTTAATCAAAGATGGTTAAGTTTCCTGACCATAGACATGTGTTGTCATTTGATGAACGGGATCACATCATTAGAAAATGATGTTATGGACAAGACCCATTCTTTAGCTTAGCATTATGATCGTTTAGTTTTGTTGCTATTGCTTTCTTCATGACTTATACATGTTCCTCTGACTATGAGATTATGCAACTCCCGAATACCAGAGGAACACTTTGTGTGCTATCAAACGTCACAACGCAACTGGGTGATTATAAAGATGCTATACAGGTGTCTTCGATGGTGTTTGTTGAGTTGACATAGATCGAGATTATGATTTGTCACTCCGAGTATCAAGAGGTATCTTTGGGCCCTCTCGGTAATGCACATCACTATAAGCCTTGCAAGCAATATGACTAATGAGTTAGTTGCGGGCTGATGCATTACCGAACGAGTAAAGAGACTTGCCGGTAACGAGATTGAACTAGGTATGATGATACCGACGATCGAATCTTGGGCAAGTAACATACCGATGACAAAGGGAATAACGTATGTTGTTATGCGGTTTGACCGATAAAGATCTTCGTAGAATATGTAGGAGCCAATATGAGCATCCAGGTTCCGCTATTGGTTATTGACCGAAGATGTGTCTCAATCATGTCTACATTGTTCTCGAACCCGTAGGGTCCGCACGCTTAACGTTCGATGATGATTTATATTATGAGCTATGTGTTTTGATGACCGAAGTTTGTTCGGAGTCTCGGGTGAGATCACGGACATGATGAGGAGTCTCGAAATGGTCGAGAGGTAAAGATTGATATATTGGATGAAGGTATTCGGACACCGAAAAGGTTTCATGACGTTTCGGATATTTATCGGGAAATCGAGGGGTTACCAGAACCCTCTGGGGAAGTTATGGGCCTTAATGGGCCATAAGGGAGTAGGAGAGGGCAGCCCGCAGGGTGGAGCCCCACCCCCCCAAGGGAGTCCGAATTGGACCAGGGGGAGGGGGTGCGGCCCCCTCTTTCCTCTCCCTCTCCTCCCCTCTTTCCTCCTCTTGGAATAGGAAAGGGAGTCCAACTAGGATAGGGAATCCTAGTTGGACTCTCCCTTGGCGCGCCCCCTCATGGCCGCCAGCCTCCTCCCTCTCCTCCTTTATATAAGGGGGCGGGGGTCACCCCAAAGGCACATCAATTGTTCCTTAGCCGTGTGCGGTGCTCCCTCCACAGTTTACCACTTCGATCATATTGTCGTAGTGCTTAGGCAAAGCCCTGTGCGGATCACATCATCAACACCGTCAGCACGCCGTCGTGCTGAAGAAACTCTCCCTCGACCCTCTAGTGGATTAAGAGCTCGAGGAACGTCATTGTGCTGAACGTGTGCTGAACACGGAGGTGCCGTACGTTCAGTACTTGGATCGGTTGGATCGTGAAGACGTTCGACTACATCAACCGCGTTAACATAACGCTTCCGCTTTCGGTCTACGAGGGTACTTGGACACACTCTCTCCTCTCGTTTCTATGCATCACCTAGATAGATCTTGCGTGATCGTAGGATTTTTTTTGAATTAGTACGTTCCCCAACAGTGGCATCCGAGCCAGGTCTATGCGTAGAACACAAAGAGTTATGCGTGATAATAGTCATATTGCTTACCACCAACGTCTTACTTTGATTCGGCGGTATTGTTGGATGAAGCGGCCCGGACCGACATTACATGACCGCGTTCATGAGACTAGTTCTACCGACGTGCTTTGCACATAGGTGGCTAGGGGGTGTCTGTTTCCCCAACTTTAGTTGAATCGAGTTTGACTACGGCCGGTCCTTGTTGAAGGTTAAAACAGCACACTTGACGAAAAATCATTGTGGTCTTGATGCGTAGGTAAGAACGGTTCTTGCCAGAAGCCCGTAGCAGCCACGTAAAACTTGCAACAACAAAGTAGAGGACGTCTAACTTGTTTTGCAGGGCATGTTGTGATGTGATATGGTCAAGACATGATGAGATATAAATTGTTGTATGAGATGATCATGTTTTGTAAAAGTTATCGACAACTAGCAGGAGCCTTATGGTTGTCGCTTTATTGTATGAAATGCAATCGCCATGTAATTGCTTTACTTTATCACTAAGCGGCAGCGATAGTCGTAGAAGTAATAGTTGACGAGACGACAACGACGCTACGATGGAGATCAAGGTGTCAAGCCGGTGATGATGAAGATCATGACGGTGCTTTGGAGATGGTGATCAAAGTCACAAGATGATGATGGCCATATCATGTCACATATTTTGATTGCATGTGATGTTTATCTTTTATGCATCTTATTTTGCTTAGTACGACGGTAGCATTATAAGATGATCCCTCACTAAATTTTAAGGTATAAGTGTTCTCCCTAGTATGCACCATTGCTACAGTTCGTTGTGCCGAGACACCACGTGATGATAGGGTGTGATAAGCTCTACGTTCACATACAACGGGTGCAAGCCAGTTTTGCACGTGCAGAATACTCGGGTTAAACTTGACGAGCCTAGCATATGCAGATATGGCCTCAGAACACTGAGACCGAAAGGTCGAATGTGAATCATATAGTAGATATGATCAACATAGTGATGTTCACCATTGAAAACTACTCCATCTCATGTGATGATAGGACATGGTTTAGTTGATATGGATCACGTGATCATTTAGATGACTAGAGAGATGTCTATCAAAGTGGGAGTTCTTAAGTAATATGATTAATTGAACTCTAATTTATCATGA